CCATGTTGCGAAAACAAGGTCAAACAACCTGTATACAACGAAAGGAGACTGCGACCACACAAAAGGCCACCCCATATTGGTCTTCATACTTTCTATTATTTCTGTTCGAAATTCTAAGCTCCATTACGCCTATTTGCTGACAAATATAGGCCCAAATGACTCAGATTTTGTATGTTCTACTCAAGGGTATTCCATTAAAATCTTGCTTGAAACTTAAATTCATTTTTAAATTTTCCTTTAACTTATATCTAGCTATACATTTTGGTTACATTTCATATATTCTGGTGCTCTCAACATTGTCCAGAGAGAATTAGCAGATGACAAGCCGTTAGACAAGCCATTGCAGGCTAAATCCATCAAGCAGGGTTGGCTACTACATTATTCTTTGAAGGAGCCTAAGGTAAGTTTCAAAGTTTGCTTACTCTTAAGTCATAGTCTATATGAACTCTTTAATAAATCTACCTTTAAAAATTATGAATAATCGATAACTAATCCAAATTAGTAAAATTTCTAAACAAATATAACTTTTATATTCTCTCCTTAATGTTTCCAATATTAGACAACTTTTGTCGCATTAATTATCATTTTTGATATAGGTAAGTTTCAAGATTAATATTTACTTTTGAATAATAAAATAATCACCATAGGTCACCTAAGGTGATTTAAGGACTGATAGTTGATTTTTCTCACAATGAAATGAGGCCTTAGGACGCCTCAAGGCTCACTTGACTATCAAGGGTGTACTGCAGTTTCGACCTCGGCGTGGAAACTGAGCTGAGGGCATAATATCAGGTGGTCTCGAGTGTGTGTATGTGTGTGTGCGTGTAGTGAGAGGTTATGCGGGATTGAAGATTGGTGACATACTCAGCTAAGGAGGTTACCAACTAACGCACATATGCATAACTGACTAGAAACTTAGAATTAGATTAGACTGTCAACTTGAGAGACAAAGTAAGTGTGATTTATGCGATTCAGGAGTGGGGAAGGGAAGCGATCTATCTTCATACCAACGGTTCTGAATCAAGCCAGACACAGGGCCCCAGAAAGTGAAAGAATGTGGTGGGGATGAGAATAATAATAATTGGGTCATGGGTCTGAAGCCAAAGGAAAAGAAGATGCCTAGACATGAGAATTACCTCTTATAATTTCTAGAATTTGATGTATACGCGGACACAAATCGAAAACGCATAGGGAGCCAATCAGTGATTTCATGTGCAGCAGGGACAGCAGGCATATAGGGTGGAGGGGAGCCAAATAAAAATAAGAAGTCATGAAGCAGAAGCCCTGCAAGTAGCATCTGAAATCGAGGGTGAAGGTGAATATGCTTCACTAAATCCACTTGAAACGACACCCACAAGCGACATCAGCAGAAAGGAAAACAGCGAATTGTGCGAATAGGTAAATAGATCATAGGAAGTGGGTTATATGAAGACCAAGATGGTGTGGCCCTCGGTATGTACACAGTTTCCTTTTGACGTATAGAAGCGGATTGACCTGTTTATCACAACTTGATCTTGTTGCCAGGGCGACTTATTTGGACACACCTTATCCGAAGTCCTCTGCTATAGTAGTTATTATAAGTCCCAGTGTCAGACCGTGGATTTGGTACATTCTCAGACATTTTGTCGGAATCTTAATCGGCATCGCTAGTAAGTATTACATCCCTCGGCGCAAAGCTACCACTCGTACGATAGTCTCCAAAATTCGATCATAATGCCAGAAAAATGTCTAGGAATATACCAAATCAGCGACATCAGTGTCAGGGGACTCAGTGTTAGGTTTGTTTTCAACGTCTCTATGGCACCACGACTAAGTTGTGAGAAAGAGGTCAGACCAATTCTATGGGCTTAAGGAGATTGCGACCAAACTGACAACCATCTCATGTTGGTAATCGAGTATTAAAGATAAAATAGATTTACATGTGTCTCATAATAAAAGGCACTATTCGTTTTATTCCAAAACTCCAAAAACAAAACAGTCCTATTTTGCTGTGTTGCATACAATACTCGTATATAAATGCATTATTTGACGTTATGACCTTATTCTTCCTGCTTAATATTACCCGTTTCTTTGAAAGAACCCTCGTCGAATCTACGTGGTTGTCCTGCCTAGGCAGATATCCATTTATATGTCAAGACAAGCCTCCATTCAGACGCCAGATTTTCCGGAAATCCGGCTTTCTATGGACGATTGCATCTCTTTGCAGCGCATCCGCCTTCCGCAGAACCCTCATGGAATTCAACTTTTGGTAAAGCTAGATGGCCAAACTGGCCCGATACTAGTCTTAATGGGAAATTTTCTTTGTCAAAATCCATTTGCTTAGTGAAGTATATACAAAAAAGAGTGAGTTCACCTCCAATGCACTAGCTTGCATCGTTGCGGTGATCAGGATTCAAAGTTCACGCCAGACTGGTCGTTTTGTCATTAGCATATTTAACAAAACATTATCAAACATGGCAATAGGGCTGCCTTGAATTTAGCTATTTATATAATTATGCATAAAGCCTGTAACTTGATCTTTTGTTTAATGCGGGTGTTTCCTTCTGTCATGCCTGAGACCTTCGGCTGCCCTTAAGGCTGGGAATGAATATTTTATCCTCTCTGTAGCCCCAGCTTCCATGCTGAAAATATTTCTATGGGGGCCAATCATTGTAGAAAGTTATCTGAAATAAGCCTTTAATTGAATAGGATTTTAATTTTTTCCCTCCATTATTTCTATAATATAAGATATAAATAAACAGATAATTTAGAATTTAACTAAGCAAAGTGGAATTAATGATTTACAAAGTGATAAAATTGGGCTTTTGTATTGAGTATAAATCTATATTTGGTTATCATTTCTGCTGAGATGCTCGGTCATTTATTTCAAAATCAGTCAATTATAGCTCATCGAGCTCGGTGGCCCTCTTTTCCAACTTTGGAATATCAAGTCGCCTTCCTGGAGACGGTCGTTGTCTTTCATATTTAGCGCTTGCTTTAACCCATTTCACCTCATTCGCCTTCATGCACTATTTATCGTGAAAACTTTCTTTCAAAGTCTAAACAATTCGAGGCTTACTATACAATTTAGCCATCAAAATGTGCTTTACATTTGATACTATAATCTCAGTTCGATCAAATAAATCCTCTGAAAATTACAAAAATTAATCGAAACCTCTAGTTTGGTAAAGTATGGGCAAAACATATTGTTTACATTTTGCTATTTATCTTTCTAGATGATGTCCAATGAAGCCGTCATCTTGGGGGCTCTTACTGAGATCATCCGCGAATTTTGGCTACAGGCTTTCAATTGTGCCCTTGATCCACACTACAGCCCGCCAAATACACTTAGCTTCCAGCTATGCCTCGCCGCGAATACTCATTCGCCCTTTTCTTTCTCCTCCTCCTCCAACTCATCATATCTTCTGTCTCAATCCCCATGCCATTTAAGTCATCCTCCAATCACGGTTTCACATATACCCTCAAACAACACTCCATGTGCCCAAGAACTGGCACCCTCTGGCCCTTTGCATCAGTCCTGCCGTTCTGAGTTGACAAATAATAAGGGCTGTACCAGGAAATCTGAAGTCGGATCTTCTGCCTGTACGGACAAATCTGCTGAGGCAAGAACTTCCTCACATACAGCTCAACTACTTGCTGATCAGCCTCCAATTCACCAGTGCCATCCATTTAACGAAGTGTTGCCAAATAGCACCCCTCAATCCGTGCTTATCCAAGGGCTAATTAAATCTGTTGAAATTCCAGCTTCATCTACCAACATCACCTCAACCATTCTTAGCACTGGCTTGTCCTTGCCTTTGAAATTAACCACTGCCCCACTCCTCCACAAATCCAAATTTCTACAATCACAAACGCCATCATTATCAGTGCAATCACCAGAACCACTAGTAGTGTCGCTGCCACCAGTGCCATCGTTCACACTATCAACACCGTCATCATCACCACTATCTTCATCACCGCCAACTCAGTCGTTTGCCAATCGCTCAATGATCGTTTGCTCAAACGCCACTTCCGTAGTCTCAGTGTCAGCCTCTGGCGCACCGATGCTTCGTCAACAGAGGACACACGACAGCCTAGTCCCTCGGTTGGCGATCCAACTTTCTTCTGCGCTTCGTACGCCTCATGCTCAATCAGCTTCATTTGTGGATTTCGTCACTCCGCCCGGTTATTGTTCGTCGGAATCGAAGGATAGGCATCTATGCGGCCTTGAGACGGCATCTGAAGATGCCTCTGCCACCGCCACCCATCTTAGACAGAGATCTGTGGCACACAGTGTTACCGAGTCGCTAGGATATAATGAGAATCAATCAATGCATCCACAGCCTGTGGGATCATCTGTTCCAGAAACCTTTTCAATGAAGACAGCTACTTTCAAAGATAAACGGCCTAGCAAAGAACAAAGATTTTCTGCACCCATTAGCATGCGCACTTCTGGATTACTGCTAGACTTTGTAGCACAAGTTTCCGAGACAACTCCGTGTGAGGATCTTAAGGGGGTTGAAAATTATATATATATATATATTTATTTATTTATTTATATTTATAGTCATAAATTAGCCAGGCTTTCATCCAGATCATGTGCAGTTTGATAATAGTAAACAGCAACTGAACTCTACTTTTGTGGCTGGTGTCAAGTGCTCAGAGTTATGACTGGATACAAACCCAAAGATTAGGCGATAGTGTTTAGGTAGTTTTTATAACTTACTATGGTGGGTGCTATATTTTTATTATTCTTTGTCTTATTATAATGACTAAATTCAATTTCTTATTGCAATAAAATAATCCGCTCGGCATGTCACTAATTCAACTTGAAA